CAAATAACGGTTCATGTAAAAAGTAGTCATCCAAGATCACCATCTCAATTAAAGGGTATCTTTTGCAAAGCCTCTCAATAAAAAAAACCTGCAAAAATAAATACTCCATCCGTTCCATAATATTTGACACGTTGGGGTGGACACGTAGTTTAAGAAAATTACAAGTGAGTCCATTTAAAACATTTGTTTATTGTATAAAAGATTCTCTTTTGTATTTTTATATTGTAAGAAAAAAAAAAGTGGGGGAGGTAGGGTAGTGAGGAGAGAGAAAATGCAAGATTTGATTGGGTTTTGGGGTTTGTGGTCCCAAAGAGAGTATTAGAAAATATTTTTTTTTAGTGATCCCATTTCATATTTAGTAACGTGTCAAGTATTTTAGGACGGACGAAAATGGAAAAATGTATCAAGTATTATGGGACGGAGGGAGTACATATATTTTTAAAAGAACGACCTGGTAAAAATATATGAATATAAACATTATATCATAGTTTATCTATTCACAGCTAAGTATATCATGGAACATTTTCGAAGAGCTTCTATTAGTAAGTAGCAAGGGAACAAAGAGCTACAAAAAATGCATAGCGAAACCTAAAAAAATACAGTCGAATTGGAGAAAAATCAATAAAATAGTAAAATCAGAATTTAAAGAAACCCAAAAATCCTAAAATATATCAGTAATTCTAAAATTCGTGCAAAAAATCACAACAAAAATTGTAAAATTAAACTAAGTTCATGCAAAATTGAACCCTAAATTCCATCTAGTATGAAAACAATAAGAAAACACAGAACAAATCTTACCTAGTTGAAATCGACTACATAAATTCACTAAAACAGAACCAAAATTCCTCATAATCGAGGAGTATGAACCCTAAATTTCTTTTATTTGTGCGCAATATATATTGCAAGTGATGAACCCTGAATTCGAAAATGAACCCCAAATATCTGTTAGTTAGAAATCTGCTTGTAATTCTTAAATACGTGCAAAAAATAGCATCAAAGTAGTAAATTAAACTAAGTTCATTTACAATTGAACTCCAAATATCCATGTAGATTGAACAATAATAAAAAGAGATGAAGAGGTCTTTCCTTGGTTGAAATCGAGTTTGCATCTTCGGCAAAAATAGAGCCAAAATTCCATATCATCGGGTACAAACCCTAACTTTCAAAGAATCGTCACAAATTGCTACTAATTTCAACGAAAATCCAACCTCGTTGCTTAGATTCGTGTGAAAAGTCAATTACAATCGCAGAACCCTAACTTTCAAAGAATCGTAACAAATTGCTACTAATTTGAACGAAAATCCAACCTCCTTGCTTAGCTCTGTGTGAAAAATAAATTTTCAGTTGTTATTTGCTCGAATTTAGATATTTTTGCTCGATTTTCTGCGGTTGAATTTCGTGGGGGTTTTGGGTTGATTTTTTTGCTCGAAAATATGGGGTTTTATTTTACCTCACATTTGCTGGGGTTTTCGATTAGTGGTCAAATTTGTATGTTTTTGGGGTCGAATTCGCTAATGTTTTTGGGTTCAAACGGCAGCAAGGTAACGCTGGGGAATTATGGTGTTTTGTTGGTCGAATTTTGGGGTTTTGCTGTTGAATTTCTGGGAACTTTGGGGTTGAATTTGCTAGGGTTGGGCGTATTGAAGCGTTTTGAAGGGTTTATATTTTTTTTTGTAACCTGAATAGTCATTTGCGTCACTTAGTAAAGAAAGAAGTGACGCAATTTACACACAAAGTTATTTGTATCACTTTTCAATAAATGAGTGACGCAAATAACTTTATTATATGCGTCGTTCCTATGTATAAAAGCGACGCAAATATAAGTAAGTCGAACTATATCAGACTTTTGCTTCGCTTATTAGCTAATTTTCGACACAAATTACTTATAATAAAGCCAAAATATCTCATTTGCGTCATTTGTTTCTACGAGTGACGCAAATAAGGCGACGCAAATGAGCATTTTTCTACTAGTGATGACTGAATCATTTACAATCGGTAACCCAATATGTTTATGATATGATCCGTTTCAACCCACTACTCAATAAACCCAACTTATTTATGACTTAACTTGATTATAACATGACTCGTTCCTACCATTATCTGACTAACTCAATTCAATAATGATCCGACTCGATTTTAACCCAATATGACTTGGATTGAAACTCGCTTCAAATTGGGCGAACCTGTTTTCAAACCGACCAAGTTTAATCCAAACCGATTATGACCTGAACCGATAATGACCGGAACCTCGATTTCACCCAATCTGTTTTGAACCGAAACCCGTTTTCAAACCGACCCGGTTTAACCCGAACTGGTTACAACCCGAACCGATTACAACCCGACCCGATTAGAACCTGAACTATTTTGAACCGAAATCCACTTTAAACTGGCTAAACCCGTTTTCAAACCGACCCGCTTCAACCCAAACTGATTATGACCAGAACCAACAACAATCCGACCCGATTAGAACTACTAAAAATAGGTCGAATTCCGACGGACAGTTTCCGACGGACAGGTATTTCTGTCGGAAAAAACAGAAATTCCGACGGATTTTTATTCCGTAGGAATTCCATTGGAAATTTCCGACGGAATATAGATCCGTAGGAAAATATAGGCTTTCCGACGGAATATTCCGTCGGAACATTAAGCTTCCGACGGAAATTAAATCCGTCGGAAAGCCTATATTTTTCTGACGGTTATTATTTCGTCGAAACCTTCCGACGGATTTCAAGTATTAAAAAAAAAGAAGAAAAGAAAAAAAATCCCATATAATTTCAAAACCCTACCCCTCTTCTTCATTTCTCTTTTCTCTCTCCTCTCTTCCGCCCTCTTCTCTTCTATTCTCTTCTCTTTCTCTCTCCTCTCTTCCGCCCTCTTCTCTTCTATTCTCTTCTCTTTCTCTCTCCTCTCCTCTTTCCTCTCATTTTTCCTCTTCTCCTTCCTTTTCCTTTTCCTTCTCATTCTCCTTCCTTTTCCTTCGTCCTTCCTTTTCTTTCGTCCTTCCTCTTTCTTTTCCTTCTCTTCGACAACCACCACCAAGTATCAAATCCAGCTTCTTCTTCACGTTTTTTGGGTAACAATGGAGCATTTTCATCAGGGATTTGCTTCGATTTCTTTGGGTGTCTCACTCTCTTCGATTCCATATCATCAATCGTCATTTTTCCCCTAAAAACTTGAATTTATAGACCCTAAATATTAGATACTGCTCAAAACTTTGATTTACTCATAAAAAAAAAACAACTTCGATTTTGATTATTTTAAAGGTTTTTTAGGCCAAATTCGACCATTAAAAGCCTAGATCTAGACTTTTCATGGCCGAATTTGGCCTTGTTAAACCGTTTTCGTGGTGAAATTCGAAGCCCATTTCAATTCAACGTATGTTTATGTTTTAATTTTTCGGTTTTCTGAGTTTTTTTTATTTGTTTTTTTGAAATTTTTGAGCCTATGAATTGTAGTGTGTGTGTGTGACGTGTGGGCTGGTGGTGGGTGGCGATGTGGGAATTTTTGGGTGGTTTCGTGGGGTTTGGTGGCGTGGGTTAGGGTTAGTTAGGGTTGTGGGTGGTTTCATGGGTTTGGTGGCGTGGTTCTGGGTGGTGGTTATGGGTTTGGTGGCGTGAGTATGGGTTAGGGTGGTCGTGGTGGGTTAGGGGTGGGTTAAGGATGTGTAGTGAGGTTACGGTGGTGGGGTTAGGGGTGGTGGTGGGGATGGTTGGGGTTAAGGGTATGGGTGGGGTTAAGGGTGTGGGTGGATTACGGTGGTTGGGTGGGTTACGGTGGTGGGGGTGAGTTAATGTGGGTAGTGGTGGGTGGTGGGTTAGGGGGTGGGCAGTGGGTTAGGGGTAGGTGGGGCTTTTTTATTTTTTTTTATTAAAATTTCTGACGGATTCCGTTGGAAGCATAGTTGTTTACGACGGAATATTTCGTCAGAAGGTTGTAACAACGACGGAATTCAGTCCGTCGGAATGTTGCAACGGACTTTCCATTTAGTCAAACTTGACTCCGACAGAATAAAATCCGTCGGAAATTCCATCGGAATGGACCTTTCCGACGGAAATTCCCTCGGAATATAGCCAAATTCCTTCAAAATGTAATGCGACGGTGCGTTCCGACGGAATTTCGTCGGAATGGACCTTTCCGACGGAAATTCCCTCGGAATATAGCCAAATTCCTACACAATGTAATGCGACAGTGTGTTCCGACGGAATTCCGTCGGAAACCAGCATTTCCGACGGAATTTCAGGATATTCCGAGGGATTATTTCCGTCGTTGATTAGTTATTTTCTAGTAGTGTAGGACCCGACACGAATAGAAACCGCAATAAAACAAAACCAAACCGAACTGACCCATTGATTTTCAAAACCGACCCAAACCGATCCGCTAATCATTTCAACCTGTTATAACCCGAAACTGATAAACCCAACCCAAAGAACTGTTTACCCAAATTGACACCCCTACTTATATTCTACATGTAAGTTGTCTTACATTAAAAAATTATCAAAAGAAAAAAAAAGTATCACCTTTATAAACAATTGAAGTTACTCCCAAGTCAATTTGATATTTTGATTTCCACATATATGCATTTCAATTCATGGAAATAAAGCAACATGGCTTTGTTCTCTATACAAACTATTGAGCACATGGCCAAAATTTGCCCTGGTTATCTTCTAATTAGTTTTTACATGTGAAAGAAGTTTAAACTTACATTATTTTTTTTTCTTTTTTCTTTTTTTATTATTGTTTCGTTTAACACTAGGCAAAATTGACTTGTGATAGATTCCGATTCGATAAAACACTTTCTCCTTATTTAAAAAATACGAAATATACATGAAAGAAATCCGGTTAAATATAATTTTTTTTAACATCATTATCAATCTTGACCATTTCATTTAATTTATCAAATCAACTTTTTATTGCAATTAACTTAGTCTAACTATCTAGCTGCATTTGTTCACTACTGATCATTTTCAAGAATTTCTTATGCGTTATATATGGAGGGCGGCCCGACCAACACCAGATCTTTGTAAAGATCGTTCAAAGTTTGAATAACAGAAACTTTCACCCAATAATTAAGAAGTTCTATCTTGTAAATAACTTTGTTTATGTAAGATCATTAGATAATAATGGTGATTAATTTCCTATTACATAATACATTCATTTTTCATCTCCATTGAACATTAATCCGATGACGAAAATCCACGTAAGCCATGACAGTAGCTCATATCACATTGAATTACCATGCATAAAAAAATAAAAAAATAAATAAAATAAATAAATCAGCTTCAATTGAAAACTTCCACCAAATTGCACGTACTAGATCTATTTATAGAGCATAAATTGTCATAGTTTAAAGCAACACTACTAAAGCCAAGAGAAAAAAATCAGAAACAAAACACTATCCATCTATTGTTAATCCAATAACCTACCATTTTATAAACTTCGAACATGGAAATTCTCAAATTTGTCCTGTACATTTCTCTGTTTGTTTCTCTATCGTCTGCTACTAGTGTTGTTGATTTTTGTGTTGCAGACTTTAATTTTCCAGGTACGCCAGCCGGTTTTCCTTGTAGGAATCCGGCAAACTTAACAACAGATGACTTTGTTTTCTCTGGTTTGGGTGTTGCAGGCAACACATCAAACATCTTTGGTGTAGCTGTGACGTTTGCAATCGATTTGACTTTCCCCGCTTTGAATGGGTTGGGTCTTTCCATGTCGCGGTTAGACATTGGTGTGGGTGGAGTTGTCCCGATCCACTCACACAGGGTATCAGAACTAATCCTTGTGATTGAAGGAGAGATACTTGCGGGTTTTATCGATTCAAACGATCAAGTATATTATAAAACATTAACCAAGGGAGACATTATGATCTTCCCTCATTCATTACTTCACTTCCAAGTTAATGTTGGTAAAACTCCCGCTCTTGCCTTTGTTAGCCTGAATAGTGCAAGCCCTAATTTTCAAATTACAACCACTTCTCTATTTGCCAATGACTTACCTACCGAAGTGATTGAGAAAATCACTTTACTTGATGCTACACAAGCGAAGAAGTTGAAGAGGATCTTTGGTGGCACTAATTGATATATCTGTGAATGTTGTCTATTAATGTACATGTTGTGTACATAAATTTGCTCCCGTATAAGTTATATGTATTGTCAAACTTGTAAAAATGTACGTGCAATTATACGTAAGATTACGTATGTAAACTAGATAAATATGTTCCAGCAAGTATTCATTGTTGTATTATTGAGCGTCGGTTTGATGATTCCATGTTTAGCAAAATTGCGATTTTTACAACGATTTTAACGATTCTTACTAAAGCCTAGAAATTGGACTTTTGAATAAGTCTGACTATATATTGAGCCATCATTGATATATATATAATATTAAAATAGACATTAGAAATGACACATATCACTTCTTAGTACTGTTTTTTCCTTCCAAAATTCCCTTTTTATTTTTCATTTTTTTTCCATTAATAAAATAATACTAAAAAAGACAGCAGGAATGAAACGTGTCACTTCCTGGTGTTGTTTTTTCACTTCAAAACTCTCCCTCCATTTTTAGCAAAAATCTTTTATTTTTGGAAAATTTGTATAATAAAACTATAATAATATTATTCCTAATCTTATATATTATCTTTATAATAATTGTATTCCTTTTTATTTCGTGTTCAATTTACTTAAAATAGTAACACAAGATTTTGAATCCTTTTATCGATCAGTTTGGAGATATGTCAAAATATCATTAAAAAATTCCCGCCGATGCAATATATGATGTCAGCTTTATGTTTTTTTAAAAAAATTAATCTACGTAGATTATTTTTTGGAAGTATATTGTATTTTTTTAAACTAAATTAATTTTTTAATAAAAAGCCATACAATATCAACATTGTATAGTTTTATTGAGAATAACATGCATCATTAATGTAATATAATGCATACTATTTTTAAATATTTTCAACACAACTAACCAACAATAATATTTATATTTTTTTTTTTTCTCAATTATGGCTTAAAATTTTTTTATCTTATTATTTCATCTTTTTTATATGCATTACATTTTTTTGTTATTCTACATGAGTTGCCTCATTTTGATATTATATCACAAATTAATTGTGGAAAAAAGGATTATTACTATCTTGCATCGCACGGGCACTAATCTAGTTTTTAACCAATACCACATAATATATTTATAAATGAAATATTCACCAAATCTTATAATTGTAGTAATTTTTATTCACATACTTTTCATATATGTAATAAAATACTACCTTAAATCCCATGCAACGCACAGTATTACTTAACCTAGTTATGATTTACAATCATAATTGAACAATAATTTGCAGAAAATAAAAAAAAACTATGTTTTCAATTGAAACAAAATAACTTGACTTTGTAATAAAAATAAAAATAAAAATAAAAAAAGAAAAAAAAAAAAGAAAAAACCTTGTATATTGATGTCAAAAGTTATTTATTATTGGTCAACGTTTTTAAAGATGTAAGAAATTTAATGATTATAAGCTTTTTTTATAGTGAAAAGTTATGTCAATTACATACTACCAGTACAATGTACTTATAAACCCCATCCATCCCTATTTTGTTGGCATACTTTGACTGGCACATTGTTATACAAATTTAATCGACTTTTTTCTTTAATTTTTTTTTGCGATAGTTAATGATCAAATTATTTTAATAGTTATTGAATAGCAGTGTGATTAATTATTGTAAATAAATCAATAAACATATAATAAGCTACGTATCAATCCCGGTTGGAGCAAAAAAAAAATTCAAAAAAAAAAAACCAAAGTTGAATGATAGTGTATATTAATATATTACCTTATACGTAATATATGTTTGTATTTTATAAGAAAATACCTAATATAAAATATATGAAAGATATGTTATTTTTTTTTTTAATTTTTTTTTGTTGAATGCAATGTAAAATTTACTTCATATAAATCTGCCAAAAAAAAAGATACTCTATAAATATCTGGCAAAAAAAAAAAAAAGAAAGAAAGAAAAAGGCGGGAAAATTTTCGACCAAAGAATGACATGTGTCCTTGGTTTCGCCTTTAGTATATGGTTATTGATTGATTTTTCATATCTATTACTTTATATCTTATAAATATTACTTTGTATGCTATATCTTTTAAAAGCACAATACACCATATTTTATTCTTATTTCAAATAATTATATCTTAATTAAGGTAATTTTGTAACAATATTAAACAACTGATGAATCTATTAAATTATATATTCGTAGTTAGCTTAGTACTATACAAACTATTGTTAGAAATCATCCTACTAATAGCATATTTATTGGAGAAAAATAACATTATTTTATTTTGCTTTTTAATTTTCAGCTATTTTCTTATTACTTATTTATGTTTTCTACTATCACAAAGTGTAATAAATGCACAATAATTTATCTTAAAATAAAAGTGCACAATAATCTAAGTTCCAGTACAACACGGACCAAAACCACACGACCGCGTACGTTGACCCACACGATCGTGTGACATGTCATCTTGTAGTAGCTAGCGGAACTACACGAACATGTACCATGAACCACATTGCCGTGTATACTGAAGAGTACGTAGTAACACAGATTACACGATCGTGTACAATGGACTACACGACCGTGTACCAACTCGGTCACCGATTCAACTCATATTTCTTACAGGCACATCTGAATTATTACATGGTCATCCTCATGAACCATTATTTTTAATAGAGTATAAAACATATTATTGGGCCTCAACCATCCATTTAAGATATTGGTTGTGAGTATAATACATATTTTTTTGGCCTCAACCATCATCTTAAGTTTTTGGTTAAGTTGGTCCTTTAACTTGTTATCAAGAGCCAGCGTGACACAAAGGTCACGGGTTTGAATTTCATCCACCCCTCCTTTTAAAGTGGAATATTAAGCGTGTGGTATGAGAAGGGTCCATGCTACATCTACACTTCACACTTCAAGCTCAATGGGCTCTCGTGTAAGGGGGCGTGATAGAGTATAAAATATATTTTTAGACCTCAACCGTTAGCTTAAACTTTTGGTTGAATTGATCCTTTAACAATTTTGGTCATTATTAAGGATGGGCTAAGAACGACTTTACTTTTCCATGTATAAAATTTTATAGTAACCCTTTGAGAAATGACTACCACAAGCCTTAATATGTGGCATGATTTGAATGGATGTACTTTGCCATGTAATTTTTGACTTTTCAAAACGTATTTTAATTAAAATTCATTTTGGTAATGTCTGAAATACTTTTTAATTAATTTAAAAAATTATAATTTATAATTTCTAAAATTCTTTTTCTAAATTCTTAGTTAATTTCAGAAAATAAAAATCAAACTAAAAATCAAAATTAAAAAAAGTTGTTCTTCATCCAAAATCAAGATTTTCGAAAATTTGTCACTTTTATTCAGCAGTTCATGCAATGTTTTAATGTTATTAGGTTCGATCTATCCATGTCGTTCATCAATTCATGTTCATTGTAGCGTTTTGTTTTGTTTTTTTTTTCAGTTTTTGATTTTTAGGTTTTTGTTCTTAATAGATCTAAACAACAATCACATTTTAAAGTATTTGTTAAGGAAGAAATACCTGCATCGGTGTTAGGCAATATTGTGGTGGCCGGTGGTAGAGGGATTTAGATTGAATGATTAGTGTTCTTCTGACTGTGTAATCGAAGAAGATGTTTGTTCGTTTTTTTTTTCGATTATTGGGACGAAAAATTGATAACATGTTTACGGATCAAATTGAGACGAAAAGAAAAAACTAACGAACGTCTTGTTCGATTACACAGTCGGAAGAACACCAATCATTCAGCCTAAATCACTATATCGCCGGCCACCACGATATTTCTAACACAAAGTATTGGGTGAGGCAAGCCTCACCAAACTATTGGTGAGACGACCCTCACCCAACCAACCATTTCTATTCAATTTCTTCAAATTCCATCCTTTTGAACTCAGACAAACCATACACTCTCTCATTATTTTACTTCTTTCCTTTAAAACTCACACTATCATTCAAATCTACTTCCAAGTTTCTTTTATCTTTTTTTTATTGATTGCATCAATTGTAATGATCTCAAAACCAACTCACACTCACTTGGTGGAATCGGCGACTCGGATTGTACCCAACTCAATTTCGACCTTTTTTCATGACTATTTCTACAAACAACTATAAGAGATTAGCGATAATAATGATGATGATTGCGATCTTCATGTGAATGAAGATAAGGGTGAAATTAGTGGGCCTAGAGGACCCGAAACAACCTGGTACGGTGATTTTAAACAGGAACAGAGGACCGTAGCTTTTAATCTCCTTCCAATTTAATTTTCCCCAATTTTAGTATCTTAGTTTAGATATTTCAGTTGTGGAATAATCACTACTCGTATGATCGATGTAACAAGTGTTTTGAATTGTTTTTAAGAGTTAATTTGGAAGTTATATAAAATATAGGCTTGTTATCTTTAAAATATATAGATAATCAGAATGAAAAAGTTTCGAAACTTGCTAATCTTGTTTAATAAAAGTTTCTTTCATTGTTCTTTTGACAACTTAGGATTTTGTGTTTTGACTGAACATTCATAGTTCTCAACGAGATCTCTAATACTTTTAGGCAAGTGAGTATGTCTTGTTACGACACAATAATTAAGTGTGACACAATAATAACACTTAGATGCACATAATTGTTTTTTTTTTTTTTTTTTTTTTTTTTTACAAGAGCAAATGCATTCATAAAATCAGATTTTACAAACTCCAGGACAAGAACTAAAACTTAAAATATGGCTTTTAAAACTTAAACCGTTACAACAACTTTTGAGACTACAGACGAAAATAAACTTGAATTGGCCGGAGATGTCGCAGATTAGGGACTCCTTACAAACCAAGGAGCAAAAACATACTACACTTCATAAAGAGAGCAACGGAGAGGATCGAAACTGTTTGACCATGGCTAGCAACTCCTTACCTGGCGGGATCAACTCATCACCAAATAAGGTCATCAAACGGGTCACTTGAACTAGTGACCTTCCAATCAATAGCTTTCCTTGTTGGCAAGAAAGTTTTGACAACGTCGAGGCTCGAGAAACCCAAAACAAAGTTTGGGCGCCTGCTTCAGATAACAAGAATCAAGAGTAATGATCACAAGAATCATTACATCCGAGGGAACAGAAACTAAACTAGAACTACTCCAACAAATAACACACTTCACCTTAGCCAAGGCAACTTCTTGTTCAAACCCTCAACAACCGCACCTATAACCTCTCTTACCACAATAACCACAC